CCAGAACCTGAGCAACCCACCGCGCTGACTAAAACAGTGGTGTTAAGATTGATGGTGCTTTTCTGACTCTGCACCAAAAACCACCATGCCAAGGTGCCGGCAAAACTGCTGCACCAGCCACAAGAGTCGCAGTGGCGACCCATGGGGCTCCTCCGCTGGGAATCTCCTGGTCCGTGAGCAACAAAAATTTGTCTAAAAGTGTGGTGTCCTCTTGTTTTCTGCGCTTTCACTGGGAGCCACAATCCTGAGCGGCTAACGATTAGCCATCTTGGATCTCTCTCTTGGTTAATATATCTCTTAAGTGACTTTTAACCTATTGGTGTCCCTCAGTTTCATTTTCCCCCCTTTAAACTTGTTACAGAAACTGGGTGGTTTGTCCACCAGACTTTTCCAGAGTCTGGATTTTGCTGAAAACCACACCCACTGCCCCCCTCCCCAGGTTTATTTTCTGTAGATCAGTATTTTGATTAGAAGTTTGATCAGATCTAGGTTCAAAAATTTTGGCAAGACTACTTCATAGATGATATGCACTTCTTCAGGGCCATATAACGTCTGCTTGTGTCTCTGTGACATTTATAGCCACCGATCATCATTGCCTGAGTTCCCCAATTCCTTAGGGTCACAACTGGTGATTCCTAAATTTATCATTCCTTTTTCCCTATTACTTGATGATAGTACAGAGAAACTTCCTCACCTGCTATTGACTTACTCCACAGTAAGTTCCTGTAAAAAAGGCAGCCTCAATGCTTGACTTTTCTCCTTTATTTTCCAGTTTTCAGCATCACTTTCATGCTGGGATATTGTTACTGTTCTCTAAAGTGACCACTAAAGTTTTACTATTATTTCTAGTATTATTGTAACCTCATGGATTTTAATGTATTTGATGTGCTTTAATCCATCACAATTCTTATCCTTAGAATATCTCTCTTTGGCCAATGAGAGCCTCTTCAAGTTGGCTCTTGAAGTCCCTTTGACACATGACATTACTCTTTCATAGCTTGTTTTCTAAATGACAGATTCTCCAGGCGCATCTTGTACATTTTTTACTCCAGACCTAAAACAACCATTTCTCCAAGGAGCTTTAGTGGAACTCATATTATGAAAAGACTCTTCAGGTAATTCTGATGTGCAGCCACATTTGGGAACTGCTAGGCATCTGAAGTTCGTTCCAACTCCCACATAGCTATTTTGTTTTGTTTTTTCCTCTTGCTAATTAGAGTGCCTAACATATATTTGAAATGATTGTTAAACACTAATATGAAATGAAAAAATACTTCAATGACATATTCTTTTTCTCTGTGCACTGCACTTTAAATTGGTACAGCATTTTCAGTGCAATTTGACTAAGTGTATCATGCCTTAAATCTTTTCATACACTTTGACCCAGAAATCCTGCTTTCAGAAATCTGGTCTCAGGAAATAATTTTTTTTTTTTTTTTTTGAGACAGGGTCTCACTCTTACCTAGGCTGGAATTCAGTGGCACACACAGCTCACTTCGGCCTTGACCTCCCCTGGCTAAAATGACTCTCCCACCGCAGCATCCTGAGTAGCTCTGACTACAAGCATGTACCACCACACCTGACTAAATTTTGCATTTGTTTTGTTTGTTTGTAACAACAAGGTCTCCCTATGTTGCCCAGGCTGGTCTCAAACTACTGGGCTCAAGCAATCCTCCCACCTCAGCCTCCCAAAGTTCTAGGATTATAGGTGTGAGCCACCGTACCTGGCAGGAAACAATTTTTAAAATACAGAAAAAGGCATGCATCAGAGCTTATTTGAAAATTGTAAAACATTAGAGATAGCTCTAATATCCAAAAATGGGGAGCAGTTTGTAAGATTGCTAAGAATGTACTGGAAGGAATATTATGAGGACATTAAATGATGCCTGGGAAGACTATGCAGCTGGTTGCAAAATTGTATTTATGATATTATGTTAAAATATGCATATGGAAAAATGTTTAAGGTAGAGTATAGAAAAATGATAGGTTAGTGGTCTTTACAGTTGATTTTTCCCTACACTTTGTTCTTTTCCACAATTTTTCCAAAAATTACTTAAAACCTAAGATTCTATAATTCTGTAATATTACATGATTAACTGACTTGCAGTCCTTTGTCATTTAGAAAGAACAGGACTTAGGAAAGGAGAGGGCATGGAGCATAAGTCACAGCCCAAAGTTTGGGGCATTACCTGGGGTGTAATGGGACTGGAGGAGGAAGCGCTGGGCTCAGAAAGGCCGGTGGGCATGACAGTGGACACCACTCTGCCTCCCCTGAAGTTTTCCCTGAGCGCATGTCTTTGTTATGCTCGTCAACTCATCAGCTACCAGCAGGGGCTTGGAATCTCTGAAAGTTCCTTAGTCTCCCTCTTGGCCATCCCAGGCCATTTCATCACTGGGAGTACTGTGGATTCATTTTCACACCAAGAACATCAATGGATGCAGCTTGCTGGGGATGACTGTCCAGCCTGGCATGCTAAGGAATTTGGTAACCAAGGGAATCAATAACAATTTGTTTGGGCTTGTACTTTTAATGATTTAGACTTTGAACAAGCTCCTTTGGATTGTGTTTATTGGTATATACGGCATCTTTTCTCCAACCCTTCCTCACATCTGGAAGCCTTTCCCTGGTTTTCTCTCTCTTGACTGGAGGTGGTGCCTGAGGTGAAGCTGAGCAGGAGGAAGGAGAGAAGCCTGGGACTGCTAGCACCCTCCCAGGCCCCTTCGACCCGTCTGGTGGCATCTACTCCAAATGCTACTTAGCACCCTAGCATTTCATCCTCGTGGGAGCAATGATGGTTGAGGGGTAAGGACGACAAGGCAGACAGGAGCCACATTACAGAGGACTTGGAATGCCAGGCTGAGAATTGTGGACTTTCTTCTGTAAGAGCCACAGGAGGCTTTTAAGCAAAGGAGTGATGTGATCTGACATATAATTTAGGAGAACCACTCTGGTGCAGACTGGCGAAGATAGTGGTGTGAGGTGAAACCAGTGTGAGGGCTGCCAAAGCCAGTTCAGGTAAAAGGCCACAGGTAGTAATATAGTAGAATGGTAGTAACATCCCAGCATGAAAGTGACAGAGCTGGCTGTAGCAGAGCGGATGGGATGGATTCACCCGTGGAGAAAAAGGGTGCTGTTAGTTACCAAATTCTGTTGCCTTTTCCTCCTTGGCATGTGGCTGGACCACTCGTCCTGTGGCTGCTGTAGCAACCACAAACATAGTGGCTTCAAACAACACACATTTGTTTTCTTCCAGTTCTTGGAGATCAGAAGTCTGAAAGTGCTGGCAGAGCTGCTTTCTCACGAGGGCTTCAGGAGAGAATCCCTTTCTGTGTTGTTTCCAGTTTCAAGAGACCACTTGCATTCCCAGAGTGTAGCTCCTTCTTCTGTTTTCAAGGACAGTCACTCCAACCTTCACATCTTCTTGGTTTTGTTTGTTTTGTTTTTCTGTTTTTTTTTTTTTGGCTCTCTTTCCCCACCTGTATAACCAAGTATCATCTCATACTAAGACTCTTACCTTAATCTTTCCTGCAAAGGTCTTTTTGGTACTTAAGGCAACATGCTCACAGGTTCACATGGGGATGAAGACATGGACATTTTGGGAGCCCTTGTTTTGTCTACTACACCATTCTTCCCAGCCTGGCAGGAGGCATGGGATCTCTTTTTCAGGCCTGGTCCATAAAACCTCCCTGGTCTTCCATGGTCTTTCCTTTTCTCTGTGCTGAAGACCCAGAGGGGAAGCAGAGCCAAAAAATGGGGGCATCTGGGGCCCTGGATGACCAAGCAGAGGGCTGGTTATTCACCATCTGAAATTTTCACTTTGCAGTTTGTACACTCTAAATTTTTAACATTTTTATCATCTCTTATATTATTTCTAAGTATGTGTAGATTTTTTTTTTTTTGAGATAGTTTCACTTTGTCACTCAGGCTCCTAGAATGTAGTGATACGATCTCGGCTCACTGCAGCCTCCACCACCTCTTGGATTCAAACAATTCTCTTGCCTCAATATCCCAAGTAGGTGGCGTCCACCACCGCACCTGGCTAATTTTTGTATTTTTAGTAGAGATGGGGTTTCACCATGCTGGCCAGGATGATTTTGATCTACTGACCTCATGATCCACCCCCACTCGGCCTCCCAAAGTGCTGGGATTACGGGCCTGAGCCACCATGCCCGGCCATATGTGTAGAATTTAAAAATACCACTTAGGAACATACATATTGAGCCTAGTTCAGTGAAGAATAAGCCTCTGTGTTAAGCCGCTGGTTAGTCAAGATAAAAATTAGGCTTGGAGTCTCCCTTGGAACTCTCTGTCTTTGAGGTGTCAAGTGGGCATCCTAGTCCATATCCGAAGTCCAAATGTGAAAGTAAGAATACATCTGCTACCTCAGAGTGAAGAAATTAATAAGGCAAAAGATCTAAAAGAAATTTTGGCTGGTGTGGTGGCTGATGTCTGTAATCCCAGCACTTTGGGAGGCCAAGGTGGGTGGATCACCTGAGGTCAGGAGTTCGAGACCAGCCTGGCCATCATGGTGAAACCCCGTCTTTACCAAACACACACACACACACACACAAATATATATATATAATATTTAGCTGGGTGTTATAGTGGCTGCCTGTAATCCCAGCTACCTGGGAGGCTGAGGCAGGAGAATTGCTTGAGTCTGGAAGGCAGAGGTTGCAGTGAGTCAAGATCATGCCTTTGCACTCCAGCCTGGGCAACCAGCAAGACTCCATCTCACAAAAAAAAAAAAAAAGAAATTTCATAAATGCTTCTCCTCCTTTCTATTTTTTAATTAGATTTTCATAGGAGCCTATATCTGGGGAGAACAACATATTTCAGATGCAACAAATTCATCTGCACTCTGGCTTAGATCAAGTACCCGAGAGGCTTTGTGGCTGTGGGGGTGGAAAACGGCAGGGATGAGACTCTGATGGGGTAAGAGGGGAAGGGCTGGAGAAACAGGGTAGGGGTTTGGGGCAGCCCTCACTGCTGGCCAATGTTTCTGGGTGAAAACAGCTTTTGTTAAGATCTGAAGTATTTTTAAATTCTACACATACTCAGAAATAATATGAGGTAATAAGAATGTTAAAAATATAGAGTGCATAAACTGTAAAGTGAAAATTCCCAGTGGTGATGGCTAACAATTTTTTGTTCAGATGTCCTGAATTGTTTTTCTGTTCATGTACACACATACACACACACACACACACACACACACCCCTCAATGTTTTCAACTTGCCTTTGATAGTTACTAGATATTGCCATACTTCTTTATTATTACTTATAAATCTGCCTCATCTTTAACTACTATTGAAAGACATTTAAGCTGTTGTTATTTTAATTTTTTCTTATTACAAGCACCGTAACAGTGAACAGGCTTTGAGCACTGGGAGAGCACTTCAGGGAATCTATCCACTGAAGAATAAATCTCTTTGAGTGAAATTGCTGCATTTAACAGGTATTTAACATTTTCTCCAAAAATATCATACCAGTACCCTTTTCTTGAGGGGCAGAAGTTATAGAGTCAAGGAGGGGCTTGAAGCAGAGGAAGGATGGATTCTTGTACGAAAACCTGAGGGAGGTCAGGCACAGTGGCTCACGTCTGTAATTCCAGCACTTTGGGAGGCCGAGGTGGGTGGATTACTTGGGGTCAGGGGTTTGAGACTGGCCTGGCCAACATGGTGAAACCCCATCTCTACTAAAAATACAAAAATTAGGCGGGTGTGGTAGTGGGCACCTGTAATCCCAGCTACTCAGGAGGCTGAGGCAGAGAATCGCTTGAACCTGGGAGGCAGAGGTTGCAGTGAGCTGAGGTCGTGCCACTGCACTCCCACCCAGGCGACAGTGTGAGACTCCGTCTGAAAAACAACAACAAAAACAGAAAAGAAAACCTAAGGGAGACAGGAGGCTGGGGCCCAGAAAGAATCAGCACTCACTGCTCTGAATTGCAGGTGCCCAGGGGCCAAGCCATGGGGAGAAGGGCCCATGCTTGCTCTTAATGCTCCACTGTCGCTGTATTGAAACTCTTAATTTTTCAAAGAGAGGCCCCAGGGTTTCATTTTACACTGGGTCTCACAAATTACGTTGCTGATCTCAGTTGGAGGAAAACCGGGGCGGGGCCAGTGAGGACCTGTCCTTGTGGTAAGGGAGGAGCCGCATGGACAGCTGTTGGCTTGAGGTCTTGGGAAAGTTGAGTTCCTAAGGAGCGGGTACTCAGTGCATCCAGCTGGGGTCTGAGGGCCATGGACCTGAGAAGCAGCTGGACTTGGAGACCAGTAGGAGCCTTTGTATATTGGCTCTTTTAGAGTGTCCTAAAACAGTGCCTCAGTGGTTCTAGAGTATGGTCCCCAAATCAGTGGCATCAGCATCCCCAGAAACTGGTTAGAAATGCAAATTCTCAGGACCCAGACCTACAGAACCAGAAATTCTGGCAGGGCCCAGCAATCTGTGTTTCAACAAGCAAGCCCTCTGGATGGTTCTGACAGGTGCTCAAGTTTCAGAGCCACTGTCTAGACCAACCCTGAATCTAAGAGGGACCTCTCAGGGTTGGTTTCTAGAAGAGCAACAGTCTTCTGGCCTCTCAAGACAGCAGTGAGCCCTATGAGAAGACACTAAGGAGCCTGCCTTTCCTCTTGCTAAGGGCAAGGCTTCAGAAGGAAAAGCTTTGGACTATTTTTTAAAATTTGTTATTTTTATATTTGAGACGGAGTCTTAATATAAAGGTTGTAGTGAGCTGAGATCACACCATTGCACCCTCTGTTTCCCAGGCTGGAGTGCAATGGTGTGATCTCAGCTCACTACAACCTCTGCCTCCCAGGTTCAAGTGATTCTCCTGCCTCAACCTCCTGAGTAGCAGGGATTACAGGTGTGTGCCACCATGCCCAGCTAATTTTTGTATTTTTAGTTGAGACAGGGTTTCACTATGTTGGCCAGGATGGTTTTGATCTCTTGACCTCCCAAAGGCAGGGATTTGATCTGCCTGCCTCAGCCTCCCAAAGTGCTGGGATTACAGATGTGAGCCACCATGCCTGGCCAAAGCTTTAGACCATTACAAGCCTCCTAAGAATGTTAACTTGCTTCTTCTCCCCCTCCATCTAATGGGGCTAATAAAATGTCACATAGGCCTCATTTCTGTGGATCCCCTGATGGTTACAATATATAGTCTATAAGTTCTCCACACATAGGGGGATAAAGGAAAGTTATGCAAACATGAATATTCTAAAAGACTTATTAATGATGTGAATTCTGCTTTGAAGAAGCTAAAAGCCCCCGTGTTAGCTAATAGCTTTATGATCATATTTTAGACTCCTGGAAGTTACACACATCTAAGGTAAATATCTTTGTCATGAAAGGGGCCTCGTGGGATGCACAGAATATGAGAATATTAGAATTTGAAAGGGCAGCTAGAGCTGGTAATAAAGTTGTGTCTCATCTAGGAATAATTTTGAAAAATACTAACACAAATTGTAGAAACTCTGAAGAGTTAATTCTTCGTGCTTTGGCCCAGTAGAATGAGTTATGGATGCACTGTATAGAACAGAACTTGTAGAACCACACTGGGGGTGGCGGGTGAGCCAAGGTCTGCACCATCCCCTCCCCTTCCCCACAGCCACATTTGAACTTGCAGTGGCTGAAGCTCTCAGGGGGTTGCACATATTTATGTATTTATTTTTGTTTATTTTTAATTTACTTTTATTTTTAATTGAGACAGAGTCTTGCTCTGTCGCCCAGGCTGAAGTGCAGTGGCGCGATCTTGGCTAATTGCAACCTCTGCCACCTGGGTTCATGCGATTCTTGTGCCTCAGCCTCCTAAAGGTGCCACCACCCCGGCTAACTTTTTTGCATTTTTAGTAGAGACAGGGTTTTACCATGTTGGCCAGGTTGGTCTTGAACTCCTGACTGCCCACCTCAGCCTCCCAAAGTGCTGGGATTACAGGCATGAGCCACCACACCTGGATGCACACATTTAGAAACTGTGCAAAAGAATTGTCCATCGCTGGTCAAGCAGAGGCCTTTCACTGTGCCCCAGGTGAAGGGCATGGCAGGCTGAGAGCAAACCTGAGGTGCCTAACTTCCCTACCCTGGGAGCTGGGGCACCACAGGCCCCTGCACAATCCTGAAGGGGAGCCACTTCTGACTGGACGCTTCTGTGCTGTGGGGTGAGGTCGGAGCTGGGCCCTCCTCTCTATCTTCTTTCCTTGGAATTCTACAAGCACTTGGTGAGCTGTGTGTACTGGGGCCCTCCCTCCAGAGTGTGGGAGGACGGACAAACAGCCTGCAGAGTTGGAGAACAGGCTTCCTTTCCCTGCTCTGTTCATGAAGGTGTCAGGTTCATGAAGACAGAGGTCTGCAGCTCTCCCTTAGGTGTGCCCAGATTTTGATATTCTCTCAGTAGCACTTTCCCCTAAAAGGAATCTCTGGGTTTGCTGTACGTTGGCTGGCCGCAGCCACATCTGTGCCTGTTGGAGACATGTGCAGGCAAGTGGGTGACAGGCTGATTCATAGAATTTTCTCTAAGCTGCAGGTGTGAAAAGAAGATGAGTTCAGGGTATCATAACTGATGAAAAAGCCTACCTGGATGGAATTGACTTTCCAAGTCATTGACACCAGCAGGAAAACATTAACTGGTCAGAGCAGCTTGTTGGGTCAAATGCCCCAGAGCTTCTGGGGGCTCTTTCCTTCTCCATGGTATCAGCCCATTGAAAATCTCTTGTTCATTGTCTCCAACACATTTGCAGTGAGAGGGGACATGATACTGTGGGACAGATTTGCAAATGAAAGCATGTGATATTTTCTAAACTTTGTGGGCATCTTGACCTTATAAAGACTAAAAAGAATGTCTTTTTTTGTTTTTTTTGAGACAGTTTCCCTCTTGTCACCCAGGCTGGAGTGCAATGGCACCATCTCAGCTCACTGCAACCTCCATCCATCTCCCACATTCAAGTGATTCTCCTGCCTCAGGCTCCTGAGTAGCTGGGATTACAGGCATGTGCCACCATGCCCAGCTAATTTTGTATTTTTAGTAGAAATGGGGTTTCTCCATGTTGATCAGGCTGGTCTCAAACTCCCGACCTCAGGTGTAAGCCATGGTGCCCAGCCCTTTTTAAAATTTTTATTTAAGACAGAGTCTTACTCTGTCACCTAGGCTGGAGTACAGTGGTGTAATCATGGCTCACTGCAGTCTTATCCTGGGCTCAAGCGATCTCTTTCCTCAGCCTCCCAAGTAACTGGGACTGCAGGTATGTGCCACCATGCTGGGCTAATTGGAAAAGTTTTTTTTTTTTTAGAAATAGAGTCTCAGTATGTTGGCCAACCTTAAAAAGACAGTCATAATTAAGGAATATTCTCCAGACACACTGCACTTTTTTACAAATCTTCCCTCTTTAAGTGACCTTTACTTTCAAGAATGGGCTTCTGATGTTGGGTTTCTTTGTGTCCGCTGCTTTTCCTCTTTCTGAGATCATTCTTTGTGACACAATCGCCATGTCCCTAGCCTCTGCCTCAGATGCCCTGATTGGAGGTTGCAGGTGGTGAGAAGAAAACAACTTGCACAGATGAATTCTTGAGACCAAGGTCCTGTATTTATCTCAGTAGCTTAAATACAGGACAGGAAGCTCACAGAAGTTGTGACACACATGTGAAATTATGGCTAAGTGGAATGCTTTTCAAAACCTTAGATGGCATTGGTGGGTTTGTGAATAAACTCTTTTTTGCTTCCAGGTAGCTCCTGGGAGCAGAAAAATTCAAGCAGGCTGTCGTGTAGGCTGGATTCCCACCTACTGCCTGAAGAGACTGGAACATGGACATGGAACAGCATTTCTGCATGGAATCTTTTATTTTTCTTCTCTGGCTTTGAAATTTGCATTTGTTTTATAAAAATAAGCTGGTTCAAAAACATGTACACACCCTTGTTTTGTCCATGTCACTTAACAATTCCAAAGGATTTGGGATTTTTACAGTTGTTTTGTTTCAAGAATTCAGTGAAGCAGAGCTAGTATTAGCAGCTCCATATTTTAGTTGGGAAACTGAGGCACATTTGAGGCCTGGCATCTTATCTAAGCACAGTCTCTCTCCACTGTGTCCAAATGAGGATTCTTCATTGCATGCAACAGAAACTGACTCATGCTGACTAAGTAGAAGGAGAATTTCTGGACAACTCTGGGAATCGCTAGGAAGGCAGGCAAGCCAGGTTTGGAGAATACTGGAAGCAGAGGCACTGCAGCACAGACGCTCAGCTGCCGCTGCTGCTGCTGTTAGCCTGGATTCTCGTCTTCCCCCATCCCTGCATGGCTGACTAGCCAGACGGAGGGCACAGGCTGGGCCTGAGTGCACAGGAGTCTGGGAATGCAGTGTTGGCTCCCCTTTGGCATCTCCAGTGGGATGTGGACTCTGCTCTCCTACTGGGGAAATTTCCAAATATGGGAAACTGATTTGGTCACTGGTATATGCTCAAATCTTTGACCATTTCTTTCTTGGGTTGATAACTTGTTAACAAATATTTCTTTCGAAAAAATCCTTCTGCAACATCTATCTTTAGGAATTTCTGGGAAAAAAAGCATAAGGAGTGGAGAGCCAGCTTATCCCCAAGCCATAAATTTAACATTAAGTATATACATTTCTCAGACTAAAATATTTATGGTCAGCTGTATGTCACACAGGGTTATTTGGAAAATTTTGGTGTGTAGAATTAATAAGGAGCCCTAGGATGCCTTGATCTCTCATTTTCTAGCTGTCAGGCATGATCCCAGAGGTGAAGGAAAAATAATTAAACAGTGGAGGAAAAAAAAAAAATCTCATTTGCTGTGTTTTGGTTTTCAGAAAAGATAGTGTTCTAAAAGCCATAACCTCAGGAAACTACGAAATAGTTTCTTATTTTGAATCAATTACTTTAATCTGTTAGTTTTTCTGTAATTATAATAAAAACATTTAGCTGAGAGTGCATTGATCTGGGAGAGTTTCGTACCACTCGCTTTAAATTGCACAATCCCGTTCTTCCTACCACATCAGTTAAAACGTATTGAACATTCATTACAACCTATCATTAAGGAGATGTAGAAAGACCCAATCTTGAAGTTACAACCTATCATTAAGGAGATGTAGAAAGACCCAATCTTGAAGTGTTTAGCAATTAGGTAAAGTGGGTTGGTTCCCCCTGAGAGCGCCGCATTTAGCTACCACATTTCATGGAGGAGCAGGGCTGTTTAACCTCCCTGCCTATAAAGAAGTCAGGCGAGGCCCTCACCACTTTATTTCTGGTTTGATAATCTAGTCAAGTTCTTTCACACTTTCCTGATGTTTACATGCTGGATTTCCCTGCTGGTGGGGCCCACCACCATTCTATATTCTATTTTCTTTCTTACCATTCCCTATTCAAACTCCACACCTACCTGACAGCCCCTGGGCAGTGGCCTCTGTCAGCACGTTTTATGAGAAAGGGGAAGCAGCTGTCCTGTCCTTAGAGCCTCAAAAGACCAGTATTAGTCAAATGCAAAACAAGAGAAAAGCCGGAAAGCTTCCAGATCAAGACAACAAAATCCAAAGATGCCTAGGGGAGCTCCAGGCTTCTGGATGGAGTGGAATTTGCTAAAGTTAGAACAATTCTATGTTCCACTCTCACGGAAATGCTTCCATTAGTTCAGTGATAGGTTTTCTTGCGGAAATCATGTAGACTTGCATCTGTGGACCCGGTGACCAATGTTGTGTGAAGAATTAGTTTCTGTGATCATTAAGATCTGTTGGGCCAGGTGCGGTGGCTCACGCCTATAATCCCAGCACTTTGGGAGGCTGAGGCGGGTGGATCATGAGGTCAAGAGATCGAGACCATCCAGGTCAACAAGGTGAAACCCCGTCTCTACTAAAAAAACAAAAATTAGCTGGGCATGTTGGCATGCGCCTGTAGTCCCAGCTACTCGGGAGGCTGAGGTAGGAGAATTGCTTGAACTCAGGAGGTGAAGGTTGCAGTGAGCCGAGATCGTGCCATTGCACTCCAGCCTGGGTAACAAGAGCAAAACTCCATCTCAAAAAAAAAGATCTGTTTGTTAAGATGTGAGTTTGTGGAACTGTTGTATTGAAAGAGTAGGAATCCTGAGGACTCATTAAAAACAAACAAAACAACCCACATATTTTTACTTTGGGAGGTTGAGGCTGGAGGATTACTTGAGCTTAGGAGTTTGAGACCAGCTTGGGCAACATAGTGCGACCCCTTGTCTACAAAATTTTTTAAAAACTAGCCAGGCATGGTGGTGTGCACCTCTGGTTTCAGCTACTTCGGAGGCTGAGGAAGAAGGATCACTTGAGCCCAGGAGGTCAAGACTGCAGTGAATTTGCAAGTCTTGTGTGAGGGGTCTATACCACCCTGTGAAATGTGGGAGTCATTGACATCTATTGACTCTTATGGAGCTTTGACCAAAACTGACCCATTTCATCTTATTGGGTCTCTGTATGCAAATTATCATCTGCATCACCATCATCATTATCATCATCACTACTTTGCCCAGCTTGTTTTGTATCACATTTAAGGTAGCTTTTGAGATTCCAAAAGCAAAATGCATTGCATAAGAGAAAGTGGGTAGAGTTTCGGAAGAAGGGATGTAAAGAATAAAAAACAAGGATGTCTATATAAAAATAAGGTTAAAAACCACACAGCAGCAGCAGGCCAAAACTTGGCTCTGAGCTTTTGAGTCAAAGCAGGAGGAGTCCAACTGGTCTTAGAATGAGCCAGGAGGACTTTCTTTTGGGTTCGGGTAATCAGTAGATTGTGATGATGACAGCATTTCTCATGTGTTTGAATAGTATTTTTAAAATCTAGTAAATTATAATTCTATTAATTTCCTCTATTGCTTATCCTTCCTTCTAAGAAGCTCCAACATGAAATAAATGAACATGAAAATCCCCCAAAATAACCAAATCTGCCCAATAGGCACAAAATTATTTCCATCTTCCATGCGAAGTTGTGAACTACTCTACCCATGAACATTGTCACAGAGGCTATTTTCAGTCAAGAGGAAACAAGTCCTTTTGTGGTGAACAGCAGTTGTTTGTTTTTTTGTGTGTGTTTTCTTTTTTGTAAGTTTCCTGAGGCCTCCCAAGCCATGGGGAACTGTGACTCAATGACAGCTCCTTCCTTTATAAATTATCCAGTCCCAGGTGTTTCTTTATAACAGTGTGAGAATAGAGTAACACAGTTCATAAATTAAATTGAGAAATGTTTCCTCTTTATTTCATGAGAGAGATTCTATAAGATTAGTGTTATTTCTTCCTTAAATGTTTGATGGAGTTCAGTGAGGCCATCTCTTCCAGGAGTCACCCATGTGAAAAAGTTGTGTTTTTTTAATTTTTATTTGTATTGTATATATATATACATATTATCACGTTTTAGGTTTTGGGGTACATGTGAAGAACATGCAAGATTGTTGCATAGGTACATACATGGCAATGTGGTTTGCTGCCTTCCTCCCCATCACCTATATCTGGCATTTCTCCCCATGTTATCCCTCCCCAGTTCCGCACCCCCCGCTGTCCCTCCCCTATTCCCCACAACAGACCCCAGTATGTGATGTTCCCCTCCCTGTGTCCATGTGTTCTCATTGTTCAACACCCGCCTATGAATGAGAACATGCGGTGTTTGATTTTCGAACAGCAGTTTTTTGATGGGGCAGAATTCATTCCATAATCTCATCCAAGAAGTGGGCACAGGATCCAAGCAGGCTGATGGGAATTCCCTCGCTGGAATTGAATTGCGGAGTGATGTAGAGACAGAAAATGCCCGGCTATCATTCCTCTAGTTCCTGCACCCCGGTGGGCTGCAGTCCAAGTCTCTGAGGCCCCCTCGGCCCCTGGCCAGACCTACTGGCCCTGTCCTTTGTGAGCTTGGACCTTCCGCCTTCTTCCCTCTCCTGTGAGACTATGGCCTCCCCCACCCGCCCCCTCCAGCCTTCTATAACATCTCTTTTTACTTACGATAATCCGAGACTCAGTCCCTGTTTCTTGCAACTCGAGTATTCTGACTGGTGTGCTCTCAGTACGGTTTCAGAGTGAAGTACAGTCAGTGGGATGATTTTAGGTGGCACACAAGGAACATTTACATTTCTCAGTTATGTAATTATTTTAATGCACAGCAGGAAAAACTATAAACAGCACATCAAACCCACAATGTCATGGGTATTATTGCTTAGAATGACTTCAATACCTTTATTTAAGTCAAAAAGTGAGTCATTTAAAAGAAAAACACTACGTGATAGTACAGGTGTCCCCAATTCTGGGGGAAAAACAATCTCAAATGTGCTGTGCAAATAGTTTGCAGGGGCCAAGAGGACGTCATATTTTTGTAAGAGAGGGAGCGCTACTTCTGAGTTTTGAGGACTTGACTCCACCATCCTGGGACACAGTGAGAGATGAGTGGTTAGGGTGGTCAGAGCTGGGGGAGAACCTTCTGCCATGGCCCAGAGAGAAGGACCAGGCATGGACTGGAGAGGAAGGAGTGGCTGCTCCAAGCCCCACACACGACCCTTCATCCTCCTCCTCCTTGGCTGGCCGGCATCAAGCAGATCCACCGAGGTCTGGGGGAGGAGAGATGCTCTTCCTGGGGTTTCTTTCTTTCTCCCTTTTCCCTTCTTCCTTCCCCTTTTCCTTCCCTTATCATTGAGTGTCCCCTATCCATCCCCCTTCCTCCACCTGAGGCCTGTCTAGTTTCGCTGGCTGAGCAGCCGAGGGTGGTGGCTATGGCAGGTGTGGGGCCTTGGAGGCCGCCCTGCCCTCAACAAGGGGACAGTTGTGGAGCACCACTCCAGTTCTGCAGCCTCTCAATGGAAGCTCAGGCCATCAGGAGGCCTCAAGCTGCTCTCTGATGTTTCTTCCATTTGTTAACCTCTAAGCTCAGGCCACAGATAAGGTGGAGG